TGAAGCGTCTGCCTGTCAGGCAGAGTCCCAACTGTAGATTTCGCCCATGGTTAGACAGTCAGAAGGAAGACTCGCGCGACGAGCTCTTCGCGGCGCCAAATGACAGATGGTCAAATGTATGGACTATATGGAGTACCTGTATGTCATTGCTATCTTGTACGCACCGTTTAAAAAGCGAGACACTGCAAGTTTTTTCTTGCGCACGGATACACTGGCAAAGCTGTGTTTTCTTCGAAGAGTTGTTAATGCAGTCGAAGTCACATGGTTCAAAATGCAGCAGTCCCAAGTACACTCGGCATTTTGAAGTTCTCCTTCTGAACTGAGAAATTGTTGCGGCAATTTTAGCACTTGGTCAAAACGCCTTCAAGAAGGCTCCCTTTGCTAAATTCCCTAAGTCTTTTCTGTCCAGATCTGTGGAGCTTTATTGCATATCGGTCGTCTCACATTAATAAGTAGGACAACAAGCACTTCAGTCAATGTCATATATTGATTATTATGCGTAAGACTGATTATTGGGGTCAGGTTGAAATGATCACGAGTGGAACTTACCAGAGACAAACGTACAGAATCTGTTTTCCACGCCTTTGCGAAGAACATAAATAAGTGACATTATGACTGGCTTGCAGTTGTAATAGTATTACGTAGGACAGGAAACAGCGGCAAGTAGTGTTATAAACGGGAATGTCATGAATCTTTGCAACATCGATAAACGTGCTTTTATCCTTAAAAAGCTCGCCATCAGCACATCTTCATAGCAGTGAAACGCATGATCATAGGAGCGTGCTTAGTGCAAGAAAATTCAGATGTTATTTCAGTAGGAAATACAGAAATTTTTGGTTCACATTCTTCCTGTTTGACAGTGTTATTGAGTCAGTATGGTTGTTGTTATTTTCCTCGTCATCTCTTACTAACGAAGTTTCAACATCAAAGTTCCCATTTCAGTAGTTTAATAAGTCTAATCATTAGTAGCATATATACGTAGCACGCTGGAATTTTCTTGAACACAGTCTCACCTGCGAATTCATATAATTTCTTTTCGAGGTGGTGAAACTACAATGTAGTTTTCATGTCGTACGCTTTTTTGAAAATAAGTGTTGCTTTGCAGGATACGCAGAAGCCTTCGAATGTTCAACACTCTAGACCTCAAAACAATCGATCCGCTCTACCAGATTCTTTGCCTTTCAATGATTTGGAGGCGATGGTTAATCTTCCTGCTGGTAAGGCTATCATTGACATGTTTGTTGTTTGATCTGTAATTCGAAATTTTGCAATTCTCCTGTAACAACGAAATTTCGTAGAATAAATTTAATAATGCACGCCCCACCTATGTCAGTGGTTAAATAGGCTGCAAATAAACAGACAAACACATGACATTCACATGAAACGACATTATGCAAACAAAGCATTGTGTTTTCGCTAGGCTAACGAAAAGGATTGTTTTTTGCATGTTTTTTTTCATATAGCGGATTTTTATGGTTATATCTAGTTAAAGTTGCACCCATGAGTGTTTACGTTTGATTCCTGAAGTTCAGCTTTATATTCAGAAGCGTCTAACTCAGTAATGGTTTAGATCTTTTGGTTTTTTAATTTTAATATGACTTTCTTTTTAATCGAGGTTTTTCCCGGATGATTATCTTTCTGTAACACCATGCTAAAAACCATTATCTGGTCATCGTTAAAGTTGTATTGTCGGTTTCAGTATTGCATGTAATTTTGTTCTGTTCACACAGACCAATAAGAACAAATGTAATTATATTAAAGGCAGCAATATATTGGAAGATACGGCGTTGAAAAGATTAAAGACTAAGCGACCGAGGAATGTAGTCTTCATCCAAGATTATGATGATTCCGCATCACGTAACCTCAATTTTACACAACATGAATGAATCGTATTCAGAAACTCTGAAAAATAGACTTTTGATGTGAAAGTGTCGAATTGTTTTAGAACCGGACTGAAAATAGAAAGAATCTAATCTAAATTTTCGTAGGAATAGTTTGATGGAAAAGAAGCAGCGTGCTTTAGCATCTTCTTCTGTTTTTATCAACTGTGGCACGATCACGTAGGGAATGACTGTTCCCTTCCAGGCTCAGATGAAGAGACAGTGGAGATTGAGATAAGGAAGTTAGCACTGTTAGAGAAATGGTTGATCACAAACCATTTATTTCGGCCTGTGAGAAAGTTGGAATGCGATATAGCGGAACAAGCTATAGAAAGATCTAGTTTCAGAGATGAATACTGCTTTCTAAGAAACAGCGTAGATCTGTTTGGTCATCACATAGCTTGGAAGTAACCTTGATCATGAACGTATGCGCTTCACATCAGATGTTTGTTTCAGTGGTGTTTTATTTTCCTCTATTTAAAATATGCCTTTCAGGAAGCGAATAGCAACTGCTATTTGCCATAGCAGTCAACTTGGCAAGACTTGATGAAATGATTGTTTTTCTCGTATGATATGTATCGCATTTCTTGTTAAATCATCTTTATGCTACGTATTCGAATCGAGACATCACATTTTTGATGGTTTCTTCCATTGGCATAATGTCGAAAGGGAGAAAAAATCTTCCCTCATTAAAGCACTAGATAGACTTTTGGTCAGACCATTAATATGATATTGTAGGTATATGCGATCATGAAACTTAAAATCTTCGCCACTTGCAGTTATTTATTGCCCGTCATTTAGTTACTTGATAGATAGAACGGGTAGAGCTGTTGCAAAATATTCCTGAATCTACATCATCTGCAACCGCTGAATAACAGAGGGCTGTTGAAATGGATTAATGTTAGAAGCGAACCTTTCTTTTGTATACATTTTCTATTCCTCAGAAGATATATACTAATTTAGTTCCTTATATGCGTTTTTTAGATACCCGTGTTCCTGTTGTTGACTTGAAAGACGGCAGAAGAGTTTCGGGTGAAGACGCCCCTACTTTACGGAATCTTGCACACTGGTTGTCCGAGAGGCCTACTTGTGTCATTGACATGTCTTCAAGTGCAGTACGTGCGAACAGCGGTAACGGTACTACCGAGGTAAGCTATATTGCTCTTGTCATCGCCTCTGGCTAGTGATAGAGAAGGTCACACTTTGTCGATTGACGCAATTGTCACCGCAGCTGCATTAATTCAAGATTTGTGTATTCAAATAAACGGCTGTTTTTAAAATGGAAAAATGTACTATATGACTGATTAGTATTTTAAACTATCCTCGTTTAAGAAGTTGTCGTCTTGTGCATTTTTATTTTTTTTCATACCTTAAAGACAAACGATAATCAGATGAGCATAAAAACTGTCAGATGATAGATCGTTTCCGACCTTCTGCCTATATCGTACGAGATAAACATCATTAGCCACAAAGGCGTAAGAAGCGTATATCGTACC